GTTGTCACTTTGATTAATAGGCGAAGTTCTCTTAGCTTGTTATTTATGAATAACACAAATTAGCTGTGGCTTATTATTTAAATTCAACTCAATAATTGAACTCAAACATTTTTATTCAATTACAAGGCTAGATATACTATATTTTTGCCAGAACTGTTGCTCTAGCCTGGGGACATGTGTTGGTTGGTAACACATACTGTGACAGCAGGGTATCCAGGCAGGGTGATCCATGCCCACCATTGGCTACTAAGTACTTTCAGGTTTCAACCTTTTGTGTTGATCCTTTAATTTGCCTATCTTTTGTGGTTCTTATGTCTCATATAATTGTATGAGTTTTATACATTTAGTGCACCGGACATTGAAATTCAAGCAACCAAGCTGAACTTTTGCTTTTTTGTAAATCGACATGAGCATCATCTAATTGGCGATGAGATTCTACAGCTAGCAGGGGATGAATTGCCTCCCAGAAGATGTCTTCCATAGATTCTACATGAGCAGAACATGCACATTGAAGAAGCCAAAGTCTTAATGAGAAAGGCCGCACGAAGTGATTTGGGCACAGATGATCTTTTGTCGCATGCAAGTGATGATAGTGAAGAAGAGGGGAGATTGATGACATGGAATCCAGGCATATTCTGATGGAAAGATGCTGCAGGAGATTTTGACCTCAACGATCATGATGGAATTGCTAATTAGGATAATGTTGATTTGCTTGGAAAGGATAGTGATGCAGAGACACAGCCAGACAGCAAATTCACTTCACATGGGCACGGTGGAAGAACAATTGATGGTAGCGTTGATATGTGGAATAGTAATTATGAGGAAGGTGGTGACTGACGATCTTCGTGATGTTAGTACTAAAGAAAAAAAAGGAGAAAAACAAAAATATATCTAATTGAGCATACTTATCACGTGTGTGTGTGTGTGTTGATATTTTGTCTATGTTTGACTGACGATCTTCGTGATGTTAGTACTAAAGAAAAAAAGGAGGAAAAAAACAAAAATATATCTAATTGAGCATACTTGTCACGTGTGTGTGTGTTGATATTTTGTCTATGTTTGATTATTGAATTTGGGAATAAGAGTGTGTATGTGTGTGTGTCTTGATATTTTGTCTATGTTTGGTTATTGAATTTGGGAATAAGAGAGAGAGAGAGAGAGAGAGAGAGAGAGAGAGAGTTTGTGTGTGTGTGTGTGTGTTGATATTTTGTCTATGTTTGGTTATTGAATTTGGGAATAAGTGTGTATGCATGTGTCTTGATATTTTGTCTATGTTTGGTTATTGAATTTGGGAATAGTATAAGGCTGGAAGGGAAGAGAAAAGTATGGAGGGCAACGAGCCAAAATAAGGAACGGGAAAAGTTGGATGTTGTGTGCGTGTGTGGTTATTGAATTTGGGAATAGTAGAAGGGAAGGGAAATGTGTGTGTGTGTGTTGTGCGAGAGAGAGAGAGATTATTATTATTATTATTTTCTGCTTTAGATTGTTGATGTGGCAGGGCAGCATATTTCGCCCACAACGGGTCGGATTACCCATTTATAATGGGTTGGCCTTTTTAGTTTAGGCGGAATCAGGCCGCCGCGTCGGGCTCCTACCCATAAAATGGTGGATACAATCACCATCTCGTAAGCTTACCGCACACTAGTTCAGAGAGAAAGAGGCCCAAAATAAATTTTTCTGGCGTCCAATCTGCCACTGTCCGTCTTCTTATTCTTACCGAAGGTGACCGGATTCCATCTTTAATTTGCCTATCTTGTGGGTTATTTGGGCCGGCTTAAACTTTAGATGCCGGTCACCGCGGGTGACAGTTACGACAGCGAAACCCAAGGGTTTGAGGGCAAAAAAATTTTTTTTTTTGCCACTTCGTCTTCAGTTCCTTGCTCGGTAAGGTCACGGGACGGTGTGCTGAACCTGAAAGGTCATAACTACGGGCCCTTCCCAACGAAGCTGGGCCTGGCGGAAGGTAGGATGGGCCGGCTTAATTATGAGATTCTGGTCACCGCAGGTGACAGCAACAACAGCAAATTTGAAGGGTTTGGAGGAAAATAATTTTTTTTGGCCCACTTCATCGTCGGTTCCGCACGCAGTGAGTGCACCGGACGGTCTGCTGAACCTTAGAAGCCATAACTAAGGGGCCCATCAACGAGACTGGGCATGCGGGAGGTCGTATGGCCCTATTTTAGCTCTGGGTTCCGGTCACCACAAGTGAAAGTAACAACATCAGATTTCAAGGGTTTGAGGACCAAATAAATTTTTTTTGGCCTCTTTGCCATCCGTTCTGCTAACGGTAAGTTCACCGAACGGTCGTCGTAAGCGTGCTGTTTAACTCGAGTTAATGGGTATACGACCCGGCCCAGCTCGTTTTGAACCAACCTCAACCCGACCCGAGTGACGGTGGAGCGGCGGCTGGACCGAGCTAGTCGAGGAGGAAGGCGGCCACAAGAGCAGGGAGGGGGGGGGGGGGGGGGGGAAGATTTGGGTTTGACATCGGTTCTATAAGGATTTTGTTCCGTCTCGGTCAGCTCCTTGTCCCTGCTCGGACATCTTTCTTCTCCATTCATCCTTCTCATCGTGTTCATTTCATTTCCTCTTCCTCGCCAGCCTTGCTCCTTTTTTCCTTCTTCCGCCTTCCCCTACTTCTCCACCTGCTTCTGTGTCTTTTACCGGTGGCATCCGAGACGTCGGGCACCGGGGCGAAGCGGGAGTCGATGGCGGTGGCGGTGACGCCTGATGTGGAAAACACGGCCGAGCGTCAAGGTAACAATAATAATAGCCATTTCGGTGATGGGTTTTAGATTCCGGTCACCGTTGGTAGGAATAAGAAGGAGCAAGTAATTATTTATAGACTAAATATTACTGAAAATAGATGACGTTGCATCTCGACTAATTGAAGCTGTTAGTTTATCATGAAGAATTCTAATAGTTTAATTTTTCATTTCATAAATAGCAAAGAGCAAAATCCGAAAATTAAGCAAATTCATTGACAACATAAATCAGGAGAGGAGAATACACACAAAGAAACCTACCTACCTACCTACATTCAATGCAATGCAAATATACAAGTCACGTACGTACGTCAATGAATCCCCACCACCGTTGTTTGCAGATGCATAAAATTCGTCAATGGAACAAGTAAGTATCATAGTAAAATTGGACAGCAAGTGGGTGACAAAAGACACCTGTTTCAGTCCTCCTCGGGTAGGTTCAAGTTTCAACAAGTAAATGCAAAAACTCATTGGAGTCCACCATAACTTGCTGCTTCGGTGACCCTACTTTCCGTTCACAAAAGTTCCTCGATATAAAGATTAACGAAATATTCATCCATCTTATTAGATAAAAGAAAATAACAATCAAGACAACAACAGAAAAACTTGAGAACAAACAAAAAAATTACCTGATTGTAGTTAGTATGGATGTAATTTCAATGACATCAGATGACAACTTTTTAAGCACCAACAGGTGACGGCCAGAAAAATGGACCGATCACAATTTACAAGTTTCCAATACAATAATCTACTAAAGCCTTTCTGAGCTCATTTCTTCCAATGTGAACAAAATTGGATAAGCAACCATAGTATATCACCACCTGAAAAAGGATAACAACAATCAGATTTACATTCTTTTTCCCTCTCACCCACCATTTAAATATCTACCACACCAATCAAGCTTGTTCATGTGTCTCTGCCGAAGATGAGCCACAAAACAGATTTATCAGTCGTTGTGAATGTTACAAAATGGAAAACAAATACATATTGAGACATCTAAATTTTTACTCATGTCCATGCTATCATATATCAAGTTCAGGTAGTAGTGCATGTGCAAGTTAAACGAATACAACCAAGTTTTTTCATCTTGCAGATAACATTTCACAGAGCAGGTTTATTAACTGCATTGAGCTATGAAGAATACAAAACTTCCAAGCTTGTTCTTGTTTGAAAAAAATCATATGCTGATAATTTCGACCATTCAAATGTGCTGCATAATGCAAATTGGTATATGACGAAATTACAGAGGTTTTCTCTGTATCTTGCAAAAATTAATATAAAGAACCAAGTCCATCGACTGGATTGCGTGCTCTAAAGAAGAGCTTTTACAACGGATCCAAGCTTACAAAGCTCGAGGAAATGCATCCAGTGCTTAAACAACATTGAGTGATCGCCACTCTCACAATGCATATTTCTGATAAAATCAAAATGCATTTGGATATCATAGTATTGTTTCTAATAAAACCTTCTTAAATGTTTCTCTACGCTCAACCTGCAACCTCTAATCAGCTCATGTCCTTTGACCAGAACATCATCCATAGCTATCATTTTTATCAACTCAACACATCAACCTCAACATTCTCATCTCAGTGACGCTAGCTTTTCATTCATGGTTTTAGGTCATTCGACATAGCCCAACTCTGCACTGTCACTCTCCATGTTAATAACCCAACATTATTAACCTTTTGGTTATCGAATAACACCTACAATTTAAGGCCTTGAAATCAAGTTTGCATTTACTCAAGTCCATTTTCAAGAAAAGAAACACATTGCAACCTCCATGCAGCTTCCGTCAATAGTGTATACATACATTATAAAGAAAGAAAAAGGAATGAATAAAGCTCCTACAAGTCCATACAAATTCATATTGTTGACACGTACGCTGTTTCTAAAATATCCTCAACGTTATGTTTTGTTTCTATCTGCCATGCGTTCATTCTATAATTTTTAGAATGTTCTAGAGTTGTCCAGCTTTTGCCCAAGCAAAGAAATGGGCAATGGCTGTGCATTTCCCTCTCAAACAAGCAAAGAATTTATCAACCTTGGTCGAGATCTCAATAATGAAGATGACAGGGATTTCAATCAAAATCAAAATATAAACGTAGCAAAGGCAAATAAACAAGAATATAAACAAGAATTTTGAGATTTCACAAAAGCAGTGACTCCCATGAACATTTTTTACACATTTTATCAAACATCACTTGGGCAAGTTTATGAGATCACTGAATCATGCTCTCAAGAAACCCACTGTATTTTCTTGCTAGGAAAGACAAAACCATATGACAGGATAAATCAAACCGAGAAAACTAGAAGCACCAGAATTCACTCCGTACGTCGCACCTGGTATATAGCGAGTCAGGCTGTCGATACCTGCAAACGCATTTCAGGCCCAAGAACCTCAACATCAGAACACGACCAGATCAGAACCTTAACCCTAGTTTTGAACCTAAAGAAACCTTTTTTAAGTAGGGAAAAGCAGATCGCAGAGTCCAACGACGTCCGCGAAGATCCGACAAAAATCGGACCATGAAGCGAAAAGATACACGGAAAAGAGAAACAAGAATCAAAACCCAAGTCAGGATTCAAACCCGCCGCTACAAGGGTACGCCCAGAGGGCGATGGCGTCACACTTGTTGATCAAGAATCACATGGGCTTGTCGGAGGAAGCAGGGGAGACCGACAACAACGACGAGGGACTGACGACGCTTGAACCCTCGCCCCAGAAACGATCAATGTTGACATCAGTCTCGAGGAGACCGTGGGTCGAAGAGAGGGCGAGGCAGAGAGAGAGAGAGAGAGAGAGAGAGAGAGAGGTGGAGGAGGATGAACATTTGCATCCTCCCCACTCGCTCTCTCTCCACTCCCCCTATTATATAATTCCGAATCGGTTGCGTTGCATTTGTGCGGGATCACGCCAAATGCATGAACAGAACGAGGCCTCGGCCAATCTTACGTGGGCAAAGGAGCTCACCACGTGGGCAACACTTGGCAAGCGAATGGACGATGAGTCAGATTATCACCATAACACATAATATAAAGTCATCGGTTCAATAAAAATAGCATAAAGTCATCGGTTCAATAAAAATAGCATAGCCCGTGTGATTCATTCAGTGGTTAAAACGCTAATGAAAACAAATGTCTGACCATCTGGAAAAAAACAAAAAAGAAAACAGATCACCGTCGACTAGGAAAAAGTGCTGAATGACGAGTCAAGCAAATGGCTGACTGATTCATCTGGAAACCCAGTAAAGCAATTATTATAAGTTAAGAGCGAGGCTTCTCCTTCTTTTCCTTGAATAGCGCCAACAGCGACACACCCGAAACCTTCACCACCTTGAACCGCACTCCGGGAATATCACCCACCGCGTGTCCCTTCCGTCCAAAACCAGCGATCAAGACTTCGTCCTGCGAAAACAAATGCAAATCAACAGCAAAATGTTCAGAGCGGATGTGACGCTGAGAATGCATGAAATTTAATCATTGTGGGTGGCTCAAAAGGAGACACTCCAAAAACCAGCAGCAGCAATATCTGGTGCATGCAGGTGTGTATCTTTGCTACCAAGAAATCAATCCATGGACGGCTCACTGGCGCACATAAAAAAAGTCTAGACAAATCAAACCACCACTTACATTTTCTTCGATGAAATTTAAACAACCATCGTTCGGAACAAAGGCTGCAATTTTCTTTCCATTCTTGATCAGTTGAACTCTAGCACACTTTCGAATGGCGGAGTTGGGCTGCTTAGCTTCGATGCCTCTACGAGAGTCAGAGAGCCTCGTGTCAATCCTCCAACCGAACATGAGCAACACAATAGTAAGAACGAAAGAATTGACTCTGATTAACCATCATATAGCTTACATCTTTTCGAGGACAATACCCTTGGCATGTGAAGAACCAGCAAATGGTTTCTTCCACTCATTCCCGAGATGACTTTTCTTGTATGCTTTGTCCGCCCACCTCTGCCGCCTCCTGTGAGTTTTGAGCTTACGCCCAGCTCCCATACCACGGGTCTTCCTGTGATATATATGTAGATAATAAATTATTCATGTTCGATCAAGCAAGTTTTCCAAATGTTCTTTTACTCGGTTCATATTTCTTATCATCTCTATTACATTTATAATAGTCGTCAAGGCACCAAAAACTGGAGAACCAGCTAGCAACACCGAAAAGCAAAGACAGAAATTTCCATCTCTACAGATAGCATGTCAAGTAACACAAATTCAAACTAGAACAGCATATTTCTTAACTTAAAAAAGAATAAAAACTGAATCCAGATGGCGATGTCTAAGATAACTAGAATTCTTATTTGCAACAAAAATAAAAATGAATAACTCGGCCCTTCGTTCCGAAATGATCGAATCACAGAGATAACAAGCTCCGGATCTACTTCTGTTGAGAAAGGTAGCGCCAGGTAACTAAGTAACGGTTACAACACATGAGGTCCAAACAATAATTAGAGTAAGGATGCAGTCAACAAGACAAAAGACAACCAAAAGGAACGCATTTCTTTTACAAGCTGCATATTTGCAGTATGAACAAGTGAGATGTCGCGCTAGCAGATTCAAGAAGAAAAAAAACATAAATGAGACACAGTAGCTAAAGCTGATTATGGACTCCAAACATATCGTCAGAGAAATGATTCGGAAAAAAAAAAAAGAAGCTAAATCAACAGTTTATATAAGAGACACTCAATTTCATGAAAGATGCAAAATGCTGACTTTCACATGAGCTCGTGTTCAAGGACAGACGTCAGATGCTAGGCAACCAAATAAAACTTGAATACAGCAAGACATGAGACAAATGGGAAGCTAATCAATGGATCTCCACAATAGACTCCTAATATCCTTTATCGGTCATCATTGGCTTCCCATGAAAATCATCGTAACAAGACGCGAGATCTGACCTATGGCAATTAATTTGCACTCATATACTCAGAAATGATCAAGAATTGACAAGTTCCATCTCTAAATTTCAAAACAAATGGAAGCACAATAAAATTTTTTTGATATTTGCACTTAGCAATATAAGTGTCTTTAGAATAGTAAGGTAAGATGCAGCTTTCGACATTCATCCATAAATCCAAGAGTAATCCATCGCTCATCAACTCGTCAAAATCTATTTTCATAAAGTACGATCCGATTTCATCGTATTCCCTAAGTCTCTTATATATCTAACAACCTAAAGAACCAAAAGTAAGAGATCCGGGTTCAAAATCCTGACTGTAAACTGCAACAAAAAGTTCTCTCAGGCTTCCATAATAAGGTCTTGAATACAAACAATACAAAAAATCCAACAAAAATGGGAAGGGGGAGGTAAGCAAATTCAGAGGGAACAAATCGAGAATTCCCGACAAACAAGGGGCACACAACATGGATCGATCCGAGTCAAACATAGCATCGGAGAACGACGATGTAGGTAAGAACAAACTTTCATACGGTAGAACCCTCACCCCATCTTGTTGGTGGCCGAAGATCGCCGGGCTCTCTCCTCTCTGGCACGTGAAGGATGCAAGAACGGCGGACCGTAGGCGAAACCCTAGCTGCCCCTGTAGATATATAGGCGGAGGTAGATTAAACAAGACGTCCATGGGCTGATGTACAAACATTTAGGCCAACAGCCTGACGAACAAACAAGACCTCCATGGGCTTAATTAATGCATAATGTGCATGAAAGGTTTGGCAACATGCAGCAGGCCCGGTATAGTTTGATATCTGGGCTGGGTTTGGTCGAGACATCAAATTGGGCCTGGCCTTTAATGTTGACCGGGTCAATTCAAGCTCAGACTGTGGGTTGACCTTGCACTTGAATACTATGGCTGAATCGCCCCGAGGTGTATCCCTCCGGAAGAGGAGACAGCCATACGGGCCGGCGGGCAAAGGGGAAGGGACGACGACGGGACCTCTTCATGCGTCGCCCGAGACAGCTCGATGTGCGTGACGATGGAAGCGCGCGGTATGGTCCAACAGATAGAAGCACTCTCCATCGGTGCACAGCAAACAGCAGCAGTGGACCCGGCTCTGCTGCCTGTCACGTGAAGGTCCCGTAGGAAGGGAGGGGGGAGGGGGGAGGGAGGAGGGCATCGATTCTTTGCTTGTGGGTGGAGAGCGAGAAAGTAGAAGAAAGAAGGGAGTCTGGGGTCCACTTAGCGCGGGAGAACGAGAGGGAGGTGGGGTGGGGCCACGCCGTGGAGTGAGCTTTCGGTTTGCCACTCCTCTTTCCCGATGACCTAAAAATATTCTACTGCCACCGCACACCTTCTGACATGTGTTCAGATTCTTCGACCGTATGGTTGACGGCTCAGCTCCTCGAGCCGACGGCCAAGCGATACGAAATCCATGGAGGCAAAGGCAATACGTATACATCAGCGTTAGTATCGCTATGGGATGGCAGTAATTTACGGAGCGAAGAAGATATGGCAACCGTAACAAAGGATCGAAATGAGATTGACGGTGTTCGCTTATCTCGAAGCATTTGCTTTCTGCAATCATTTCTCATTGGTCTAACACGCCCGCGGATGAGGGATAAGAAGAAGAAAAATAATGATGTTAATTGATGGAACGTGCAGAGGAAGTAAAATTAATTGGATGGTTGTCGCCATCCTGAATCCTAAATCTGTGCACAGGTCGAACGACATACGTGCAGACAGAGAGGAACGCATGCTCGGTTTGGTTTGGTTTGGTTTGGTTTGGTTGCCTTCCTCTCCAGATGATGCGTGAAAACTGCAACATAAGCAGCACAAACTGCAATTGGATCTTTCTTTCTTTCATCTAGCAGCGTAGATGAATACAGCATGGAAGATCCTTGCATTCCTTTGGATCATTGCTCTCGTTCTCGTGAGAGCTCACTTTTTCTATTAATTATATACGCACACAAACACACACACACACACAAAGTCTCTGGTCTTGCGTTTATCGAGACACCGAAATCCTCCAGAGGTAGGCAGCTGAGTCTTTTGTAGCCGATGGAAGAAGCTTTGGACTTGGGTCTCCGACAAGGTGTGTCCCCACAAGCGGCGTAGCTCGGTCGCTGCTGCTCCGCATCTTTTCTCCCTTCATATACTAGTCCTTACGACCCTCCCAAACCAGCCCCCCATCGCCCCTATTCTCCCGCTCGATCAATCCTTTCCCACGCAGATCTTATCTTCAGGCTCGTCCCCAGCCGTGTAACTGGACTACCTAATTCCACCTCTTCTTTCTCGACCTATTATTATTGTCTTGGCTGCCTTAGTTCCTCTTCGCTGTGATATGGCAAGTCCTTCCATGCAAATTTTTATGGAGTCCTCCGACTGGCTAAAGGCAAGTCATTAAGCCATGCTGCATGTTTTAGATCACCATGTTTGTGACATGAACGAGAAAACCCCTTTTCTGGTTTATAATCTCTTCATCGATGAATGTTTCCATTCCTTTTTCTTATTATTTTTCATATGATCGACGAAACCGCTGTGTAATTCTGATTACTGAAAAATTATGACACTGCTTGTCTTGCTTTCATGTTCCTCAACTTGGTGATCATCATCATGTCGGTGTGACCGTCACAAATTTGTATTTCTCTTTACACCCAAGTGCATGTCCGAAGGTTGTTGTTCCGCAACCAGAATTCACACGTTACAGACTCAAGATGATTACGATCATCACAATTAATGCAGGGCGTTGTTCAGGAAGACAGCGGGATGGATTCCTCCTCCCCATCCAGTGAAGTGATGTCATGCTCAAGGCCGCCGCCGGTCATGGAGGAAAGGCTGCGGCCACAGCACGACCAAGCTCTCAAGTGTCCCAGATGTGACTCCACTCACACCAAGTTCTGCTACTACAACAACTACAGCCTCTCCCAGCCAAGGTACTTGTGCAAAACATGCAGGAGGTACTGGACTAAAGGCGGAACCCTAAGAAATGTGCCCGTCGGCGGCGGCTGCCGAAAGAACAAGCGCTCGGGTGCTAAAAAGACGGCCGACCTGTTGCATCCATCTGCTTCCTCCTCGCTCAAAGAAGCAACCAGCAGCTGCCTCCACCAACCCTTCCCTCTGGTGCAATTACCGCATCTTGAATCAATATTCACCAACACTTGTCGGAACATTGATTTCATGGAGTGCAAGTACGACCTGATGCTCGACAACCCTATGGATGGGCTTGATCTCATGGATGGCAAGCTCGGGGCCATCCTCACCAGGAACCAACTCCCCTTGGGTGGAGTGAATCCAGGCCTCGGAGAAGCTGCAAGCCATGGATCCGCCTCGGCCAGCTTCCACAGCATGATCGGCACTTGCGGCTTCTGCATCGATGGGAACCATGCTGGCCTCATGGAGGCATGCCGGGGGCTTGCGCTCCCTTTCGATGGGCACGAGGAGTCAAATTCCGTGGAGGTGAAGCCCGGAGACTGGATTAATCTATCAACGCAGTGGGCAGATCAGTGTTGCGTCGATGCGGGTCGTGCGGTAATGGGGTGCGACAAAGGCCTCGCATCGTGGGCTGGGTTGATGAATGGAATGGCTCCCCGGTGACCGTCAGAATGAGAGGGTTCTCCAACAGTCACAGCAGCAGCCAATGCTAGCCGCGAGCCATGTGGAAAAGAAATCTGCCAATTCATTTCATTCTCCTTTAAATATTTCTTTCCATTTCTAAAAGAACATGAGGTGGTGGAACGACCTAATGGTTCGATGCTTGCTTTCGTTTGTTCCTTTCCGTCCTTTTACCCCTACCTAATATCATCGGAGGCCTTAGTATCAAATGTTTGATCACTGTCTTCTGCTAATCAACATCTACGATCAGCGTGTTTCTTCTGAGACGAGTGTGCATGCCAATCGGATGTTACTACAACCTCTTAATGGTTTCCGACTACGAGACAGCAGAAACAAAAAGTAAAATTGTCACACACACACACACACACGGAATCACTTAACATGTTACGTTTATGGACATTGCTTCGAACTCGAGCGACGACGAAGTACAACAAAAAATTCTGACCCTTTAGCTAGCTGATGGAATAAGGTTGGCTTCACCATCCTGAAAAAGTATCCACCGCAGAGTGCCAGGTAAAGCGATACGCAGTGTAGTAGGAGAGAGGAAAGAGAGGTTGTGTTCCTCACTCTACCAGCCCTACCCCACAGGTGAACTTCCTATGGACATATAGGGAGGGGAACACAAAAGTGTTTCGAAGGCTCTTCTTTACCAAGCCATGAGTCTCTGTCGTCTTTCCATGAGGACTAGCTAGCTCAGAATGCTTTAGCTTCTTCATCTACGGATTACTACCTTCATCATTCAAAACAAAGAAATTTAAAGAAGCAATGTGCGAGCCAAGGAAACACCCACGTCAAGAATAACCAGTAAAACCATGGACGATCAAATTTACGTTAAGCGCTCTTTATGCGGTACAATAATAACACTAAAAATAATCGGCACGCCATCTCCAACAATTTAAAGAACTCACTCACTCCCAAGTATGTGCAGCATAATAAACACACAAAAGCATTTTGCACGCACTAGGAATGCATGCCTAATGGCTAAAGCCTCTCGAAACGTATTGCCGCATGTGATAGCAGTCGGCGGCACGTTCATTCTGCATGTCGTGCATTGCATAAGCAAGGCATCGACAAGAGGTGATAGTTTATATGGCTAATTAGTCATGCAACACATAAGTTGAATCGATCCGTGTGGACGCAAGGGAATTTGTGGTGGTCGGATACAGCTTTACAATTGGGCGGATGGAGACGTGCATGATGATTAAGAAAAGAAGAAGAAGAGAGCAACGAGCCGTACAAGTATCATGGCAGCTCCACCTTAGTTGGCAGTTCATCGAATCGGCTCATACGATAGTGGTGGCGGTGATGATGGATGGATCGGTGGCCTTCGACTCGGTCAACTCGAGGACAGCCAATAAAACTGTTCCGGCGAGGCCACTTCCGGGTGATATGCTACGGGGAAGAGGTTGGCGAGATCGTGGGAGATGAGGATCTATTCTCATGTGCTCCTGCCCATGCATGATTAACTTCAAGGACGCTTGCTGCAAGTGGCATTGGATGAAGGAATCATTTCAGGAAAATGTCACCCGGAATGATCGAGCAGAGGATATATACTCTTTTAGTGGCACACAACTGTATTCCCTTGGATCCATCAAAAGCTAAGCTCGATCGATGCATTTTTATGATGTGATACGGTACATCACATCGACATTCTCGAACAAGTGTGTCGCTCGGGTATTTTAGTTTAACCAACATAATAGTCGTATTTATGGGGATGAAGCAGATTAATGATGCACGGTGGCCGTCCACCACCGCAGCAGGGTTCCTCTTCCCCTTTCTCTCTCTGAGAACGACAAGATCGACCGGTACTGACTGGTAAAAGAGAAAGTGAGACGAGGAGGAGGGAATGTGGGTCCTCCCTTAAAGTGGGGAGTCTGACATGGCCACAAGATTGCTGGGTCGGGGAGGGCCCCATCATTGCAAATCCCACTCCAGCCCCAGCCTTTGAAACCCTTTTGGCTGACCAGGTCTGCTGCAACCATGCCACGGGCGAACCACCACCCATCAGATCAGATCAGATCAGATCAGAAGAAGATAGCTGACATCCTTTGAGACTCACATTGCAAGTTGCGATGCGGGCGAAGAACAATAATAAATTGAGTCCTCCTAACCACACCTACCGATGCTAGTAGACCCGAGGAAATGAGCAGCAACAATAATAGAGCGTGGGCCCATGTTGCAGGGCGTGGGAGGGGTGAAACATGACCCTGTCGGTGGTTATGGATTCTCTTCTTCATCCCTTAAATCCTCGCATGTCTTCTTCCATCACCTCTCCTGCTCTCCTTTGCCTCATCCGTTGTTCACATGCTGCTCCTCCGCCTGCCGCCTGCCGCATTCCGATATTACGACTTCCTCTAACGCCATCTCTATTCCGCACCACTTTCTTAGCCATAATATTCACCGTCCTCGTTCCTCGACTCATCGACACTTGTCTACTTTGTTTCCAACTGCTACCTTTGTCGTAGATCCAACTTGCTCTTCTTCTCGTTCGTCGTGTGTAAGACATCCTCCCGTAGGCCTGTGAGTTACATCACCCGACGCTACTCTCCCCGACACAAGTTAATGGAAGTTAGAGGACAGGAGCTGCAGGAGCAGGAGAAGATCTACAATCCTACTCCTCTCCAGCAATCCGCTGCCTTCACCATGCCTTTACCCTCTTCCACCTTGCTTCACTATGCCACCGAAGCAAGAGGTGGAACAGGCGATGCCAGAAATGGGATGGCGTCTCTGATCCACAATCCCACTCCCACTTCAGCTCCTGCCCTGGCGAGTGCTTTGGGTAGCGGTGGTCGATCCAATTCCACCACCGCTGCCGCCACCGCCCTTCTTCCTGCCACCGACACTGACGCGGCACTCCGGTACCGGGAGTGTCTCCGGAACCATGCTGCCAGCCTAGGCGGGCACATCCTCGATGGCTGCTGCGAGTTCATGCCACGCAGCGACGACGCACTCAAGTGCGCCGCCTGTGGTTGCCACCGAAGCTTCCACCGCAGAGACACCGACATGAATTCTCCCCTCCGCGACCTTCAGAACGCCACCCACGGTAGAGTGCCTCTCCTGCTTCCTCCACACCACCTCTCTCTACCTTCGACCGGCCACGATCACAACCTGAAGCTTTTCGGCTCCGCCGGCATTCTGCTTCATACCGGTGCAAGCGTGGGCGCGGCGACGGAGTCGTCGACCGAGGAGCTTATGCTAGGCGCCGTGCCGCAGCAGCGGTTCACGGTGTCTAAGAAGAGGTTCAGGACAAAGTTCACGGCCGAACAGAAGGAGAGGATGATGGCCTTCGCCGAGAAGGTCGGGTGGAGAATGCAGAAGCAGCATGAGGCTGCGGTAGAGCAATTTTGCGGCGAGGTTGGTGTCAGTAGGCAAGTGCTAAAGGTGTGGATGCACAACAACAAGAACGCCCTAAGGAAGCAACAGCAGCAGGAGGAAGAGGAGGAGGAGGAGGAGGAGGAGGTGGAAGAGCAGCAGCAGCACCACCACGAAATGCCAGAAGCTTGAGGAAAAACAACACGGACAAAAAAGACTGCATTCTACTTAGTTAATCGACTCACATCCGTCTCTTTTTCTTTTTCTCTCTTTCCTTAACGTGGTGACATATAATATGTACTGTTACATGCTCGTTTACCGGTAGGCAGATCCATATATGTTCCTCTGCAGAGAGCTTAGTCTCAAGAAATGGTAATTATTATATATATGCTCCTTTGAATCGAACCTTGGGACTCACACCCTTTCTCAAGAACAATCTCCATCGACCAATCTCGGGTGGAGAGACGAAGGCTCAGAAGAGCGCATTGTAAGATGGAGAATTCTGTATCCGTACAAATTGGATTTGACTGGATTATTCCCATTGTTAAACGGTTCCCGTTCAAGATTCTAGTGGAATGACTCGATAAGAAATAACCAGTTTACTACCGGCGAACCCTCCTCCGTCTGGAAAACTGGTGGGAAGAAGGAACACCAAACGCAGTGGATTGTGAAGAAGAACCATATACGGAGCTGGATAGAAACATACCTGCTAGGCTGCTTATTTCAGAGATCGGTGATCGCTGAAAACAGCACATCATACCTCCGATTTCAGATCTAGAAAACCCGAATGCTTGCTAAGAGGTGATCGCTGAAAACAGCACATCATGCCTGCGTCGATGCATCGGCACATAGAAATCCGTTCTCACTCTAGGGTTTGCTAAGAGGAAGCTGAATCAAAATGGCCCTCTTTTATTTCTACGGAGGACAAATTACGAGATAGAATCGAGATGATCAAGAAAGAAGTCGAAGAACCCCCCAATCCAGACAAGCACGAATTCGATCAAGGTTTGCTCTTACCCTAACGACCAACCTTCCGATTCCAATCTCTCGCCGGGTTTCCAAATTCCCCCAAATCAAATCAAAAGGGTATCGCTATCCTCGTATTCCATCTTTTATCCGACGTCATTATATTGGCGAAACGATCGTTCGTGGGAAGCGGATGCGTATGCATTTCATATTGCACCCACCCACCCCAACCCAAACCTATTAATTTAGTGCATTTCTGCAGAATTTGATTATACGGAACTGTCATTAAGAGTCGTGTCTTAAGCTTCATGACGTAATTAAAATAAAGATTTGCTTTGTGGAATCAGGAAAGGAACACGTGTGAACACCTTAACTGCTCCTGCGCAAAATGTCGGTTTCGTCAACCCGAACATACATACGATTCCCGTTGTTGATGTGAGATCACAGAGTGATGTATTCAAACCCAGAACAAAAAAGCCAACACCGAGTCAATGCTTTTCCATGTCATTCACTTGCAAAGTAGACACATCGACATGCAAAGGAACATCCGACGACTACATTAACTTCACCACGGCCCCAAAACATTTAGATATATAATGTATTGATCTTAAGTGATCTCCAGAGAAGAAGGATGGTTTTCCTGGAGCTTCGACCACCTCAGCCTGCAAGATTGTTAAGCAACCATCAAAAACCACTTTGAAATGCATTAAAAATAAAATAAAGTGAAATTTTAACGGCACTTTGGCAGCATTCCACGCGAGATTAGTGAAAGAAGAGTGTCTGAAAGCATGACCGAAGTGGGTTGCAGTACTAATGGGACGAATTGTGTCGGCCGTAATATTGGACGGCCATATACGGATGCATCTACCTTATGGAATCTATGCAATTTTGATTATTTTAGTATGCCTATCCTGACGAACGGAATCTAGAGTGGCACATGTGGAGATGGGAGTAGTACGCTCGGATTGTTGTGTCGAGCGAGAGAGAGAGAGAGAAAGGAGAAGTGGATGCATGTACGTCTACCTCTCTTCCTCGTCAGCGCCGGGTGCCGGAGGACTTGTAATTTGGATACGGCACCCGACCCGACTCGATGCGGTGGAGGTCCTCCAAGAGCAGCTCGTAGTGTTTCTTGACCTCTTCGGCGGTCTTCCCCCCGCCTACGGCTCGTGCCACATTCAGCCAGCGATCGGGGGTGTCCTTGTCGTACACCGCGAGAGCCCGCTCGAAGAGCTTGTTCTGCTGCGGAGTCCACGAGGAGGTCGAGCTGCGCGGGAGCGATCCCGAAGCCATGGTGGCGAGGATCAAGAGGTGGTAAGAGGAGAGTCGAGGATGAAACGGGAGGAGGAAGGAGGGAATTGTGGAGGCGGTGTTCGCCGGAGGGGTCTTGGCATGAGGAAGCTGTCGCCTGGGTGCTCGCTCTTTATAAGCAGCGGCGGGGAAGTAGTATAGCTAATTGGAGAATCATAATTGGCGATCGAGAATCCAATGTATTAGACACGTCTGAGAGGAATAAGGTGGAGGTTCAGAGCAGAGGAGAGGAGAAGGAACTTGCTTTGCTGCGGAATGGAATCCTCATCGATTCAGCTTTTAAGCTTGAAGACCCTCTATAATTTCCTGGGTCGATCAATAAAAGACTAATATGCTAGGTGATGGTGAGAAAGTAGGACTAAGATGAGGAAGCAGCGATTCCCTGGTCACGTTGACGGTAGGGTGGACCTACAGGAATCCATAACTTACATGCTTCTATTAATGTCGATCATGATCGCTCCGGTGAGCGAGAGAGATGAGTCTATGCTGAGAGGTATTTCCCTTGCTAGAAGAACAGCAAGCAGCTAGTGAGATAATGGCAGAGCCTACCTGGTTCCTTATCTTCTCCCTCCAGCAGACGATTGGTCAGCGTGAGAGGCCTTTGACATGAAATGCACGTGAAGTGAGGTCGTGGTCAAACCTGTCCTATTCTTCTTCTTCTTCTTCTTCTTCTTTTTCTTCGGAACAAGCGCGATAGTGACGTTTCGGATGAGTACGTTTTGTTCCTCGAGGCATTTGGTGGTATGTATGATGAGCCACGCGCTCGTCACCTTCTTTCGAATAGAATAGCAACACACGATTCTAGTGCAGCTTTGGCTTTGTATCTGACATGACCTGTGATCAATGAACTCAATGTTGAGACATGCAAATTAGGCCTAACATCCGACGGGAGTCTTAGCATTACACCAACCAAAGCAGCAGCAGCATCGCCTTTAATCGACATGGATTCTAAGCGCCCAGCAAAAAAAGGGAAATAGATATTGGAAGAGATTGCTACGAACGAGACGGATGCGGTGGAGTGCGACGCAAATAAATCATCGAGAAGCATTATTTGCAGACGCGCGAGGAGATTGTTGCCAACGATAACACCAACTCCTCTGCCTTTTTTTCCAAAAGGTGTGGCAGGTCGGTCGAAAGTACACTCCCCAGCAAATATGAGCAGAGCAGCTTTTCAAGGATTCTGTATCGCCGAGCGGTCGGTCCTGCAAATACCTACTATTTCCTGTGGATGCTGGGGCTGTTCGAGTTGTGGTCCTACGCCACAACTTGGAGGAATCAAAAGTGTGGGCTCGGTTTCCATGTATCTCTGAATGGAATTCCCGGACGACATCAACTTGCCACCAGATTCAACATGTTCTCCATCAGCAGTGACACGGAAAAAGAAGACGGTTCGAAGAGAGAGGTTATTTTTTGTTGTCTAAACCTTGTAGATCGAGGGGGGAGGACTTCCCCACCTGTTCATGTGCAAATTTAGTATCCCGAAACAAATTGCTTGATGCAAAGAGAGCGAGAGAGAGAGATATATGAGGATCCGATAAAAAGGTCGATGCGTGAACGAACAGCAGCACTCGGAAAAGGTGAAGAGAAGAGAATCCGGGGGAGAAAGCCAAAAGAAAAAAGGTTGCGGTACCCGATAACGGTTGTGTGGTTGGATGAGATGGTCATGCGACCATCGAGAGTAACAGGGGCGAATAGTTAATGGTTGTCGTGTCCTGCAGACGAGCTCCGGAAACCAACCATTCACCGAGAGGCAACTCAACTGGTTCCTCCTCCTCTTTGGGTTGTCGATGAAACTTGGCTTTCGGATGGTCAAAAGTGAAGCGAGGGATGATGCTAAAGATAAGATAGGGAGAATCTAGCGATACAGAATAAAACTTGTGATTTTGATGCACTGCCACACGTCTGTTCCATAAACAAACAATGTCGCATCTAAGTTTCTATCAAAAATTCGGGTCAAGTAAAAGAGCGGCATCCAATGAAGAGGCAAACTAAAATCTGGTTTTAATTAGGGGGACACAAATTTGGACAAGAATATTTAGTATTGGATCACAGAATTCCGTTTGTGGCTTAGCAAAGATTAGATTAGCTTCACACCTTGCCAGATAAATCATGTAACTAATGGACTAACATCTAAATTAAGTTTGATTTTTCTACTTTTACCAGAACAGGTCACAAAATGATCGAGTCTAGCATCCACCTACACTGTCTTTCTGCAGTCGACCACTCAGTCAATCCTAAATGCAAAGCTGTTAAGCATCAAACTCTCATGTAAAGTCATCACATAGGGTAATGATACACCCGTAGGAAGAATAATGAAACCATGCCATTCGCAACATGGCATAGAAGATGCAACAAAAACAGCATATGACTCGAAACATTTTTTTATCCTTCTCTGGATAATATAGCACAATGACAAATACACCCAGTCAAATTTACCAACACAACTCACGTTTATTATTTAAGCATATGCTAGAGGATCAGATTCATTCAGGGAAAAAAAAAAAAGGAAATTAAAAAATATATATATTGAAAGTTGACCAAGTTGTTTCCCCCAGAATTCACGAGTTGACAAGCAGGAAATAATAGATCATAACTGTAATTGGAATTGATCGAATCCCTCCAGGAGATAACTTTAAGTTTACCTCTTCTTCCACACGTCTGCCGCATGCAAGGTAACTTTTAACTACTAGCATCGAGTGCTTCTCCAGGTGGGCCTCCACTTCCAGAAATGCTCGGCTTTCCTTCCGTTTTGTCATTCATTTTGTAGAAATTGACTATCTTCTGATCCAATTTATAGTAATAAGCCATCTTCTCCAGAGGTTTCAAATCCAAGTCAATAAAATAAGCCTGCAGACAACCATATAAAGTTGTACTTAACTAAATTACTTGGACAATAAATCTAAAGAAACTTCAGTAATTTTAGCCAGATGTCAGAGTTTGTTGATACTTTCATTTTACTAGTTGCTTTCAAAGCAGTAATAAACCTATCATCTTTGGAGTGTCTAGTTAGCTGAGGCACAATGCCACAAATAAAACTTCAAAGCAACACAGACAGTCAAAACTGGTGACAGCTGAACCATGTATTCATGTTAAAACTTAGAATCGACTTATCGCATGAGAGCTGCTGACGAGACATACTTGTGTGCAAACTTGATGATGATAACAAGTACAACAACAATAACAACAGCAACAACAAAAAAGATTTGATCAAGTAGAATGCAGCAAATACGACCAACAATGGTTTGCCAATTTAATCTCATCCTGATCATGTATGTCTCTAGGATTGAAAAATAACCAAGAAACGACAACTCATAAATAAACAAGCAACTACAGTGTTACATACCTTGTAATTATAGCTTTGATTCAATGATTTGAGAGCTACAGAATTACAATCAGACGCATTACGTCCATCTGCTGTGCGGCTAAAGCTGATCATCAGGCTGCAATCCTTTGCGGTAGCAGCTATAAGATATTCCCTAACAATTTTCAGGCTGTCGTCCAATGACAGAGAATGCAACGAGGAATACTGATGCAAAAGCTCTGCATCACTTGAATTTTTGCAGACCGCACAAGGCCGAGAAATAATATTGTAATATACATGAATAGCCCCTTCTATGTCAAGAACATCCAACTGCTGAGTTGCTAAAAGCCTATCTAAAATCCCGGACCCGAAGATTGCCTCTGCTACAAGCTCAAGGAAGCTACCTAACTGTAAGCCACATGCAGAGATCAGATCCGCAATTGCTTCTCCTGATTTATGAGATCGGACATCTGTATTATCCATGCTACCTCCCAATCCTCCAAAAATAAGACAGCCATTCAAAAATATACGGAAATTATTTTGAGGAGATGCAAACAATGCAGTGATGGCCAGATGTATTCTATCTTTTAATCCAGAGAATAGATCAAGCGGATCATACCCACTTATTTGTGATATCTGCAACACACAAATTCTTAATATATAATCTGAAAGACTTGATAAAAACTCATGATGTTGAAGGATAAGGGTCAAGAGAACTGACCCCAAGTGAAAATTAGATTTCAAGAGTAAATAAGCCTATCAAGTATGTACCTCTCCCTGATGAAGTTTTAAGAACTGATGCATTTTAAATCGTGTTACATGCCTCTTAACAGCATTTTTCTCAGCTATGTATTCTGAAGATGGAAGAAACCCACATTTTGGCTGCTCCGTTGAATCATGTAAGCAAGGTTATCAAACAAATGGTCAGAAAAAGAGGCCAAGCATATAGAGCAACTAAGCTAAAAGGGAGAAGAAAGAAAAGTGTCTACTTAGAAATGAAGCACCTTTATTTCTACTGCAATGCAGAAGTCATGTTTCGGAGTACCTGAAATTGTACTTAGAGCGTCATGAAGAATGCTATTTAGTTATTACGAGGTATTAGCAGTTATGTAGCAAGCATTGTAGTAAGTACACTAAACATAGAAACATTGCAAGAAACAAAACAGACATATCATCGCAGGACCCATATGGATAACTTGGAATACAGTCAAAAGCCAGACAATAGAGGAAAGGACAAATTTGGGGAGAGATGTTCAACGAAAATCAAGAAATTGATAGCAATGAATATGCACATATCAAAAGCTAATAAAACTATCAATGAGCAAACATTGTGTGTTCCTTAAAGCCTCCTACAAAACAAGCACTGAATATTTATTTAACTGTGAGTTCTTAACATCACTTCAAATGGTCAGGAAGACCTTTACCTATTTAGTACTACAATTGGGAGCTAGGGCACACAAAAAAAGGAAGAAAGCTCAGACACAAGGCACCTCCTAGCTAAATATGGTCAAGTGTATTTTGAATGCATCCCAAAATAAATACTCTAGTATATAAAAGATTTTGGTCAGAAGTGGTTCGAAGTTTGACTTCGTAATTAAACCAACGCTCTATCTTTAATGGTACCAAGTTATCAACAAAGCCTTGTTCTAAAATAGATTCTATTTTCTTTTGACCATCATGTTTATTCCTTGATCAATTAATGTTCTCCAATTCTAACACAAATTGATATTTCACAAAATAAGGTAGGACAGACCAATCTGTAAACAGGGTTTACAAGTGTCTCGTTACCAAGCTATATAATCTTATTTGTGAAAAATGCTGCTATACTCTTCAGAAGTATGACATTTGAGATATGACAAATTTCACACTATTTTGACTGCATGTTACTTATATAGTTTTGACAAGAGGTATTCCTCAATTGCAGGCTTGTATACGAACTGGGTCATGTGAAAAAAAATACTAGATATTTAGATTAGCCCTTACCAATAATGATTGAATGGTCAGAAATAAGAAATGCAGATTCGCAAAGGACATCAATTTTGGAGGCATCAATCCTCCATGGAGGACGTTGACTCTTGATATTCCCCTCGACAGCCTCCAAGAATTCCTTAGAAACATGGACAAGAATCTGCATATTGGAAGAAAATCGAACATCAAAATGTGTTAGAACTTAAGAGACCGTTTGGCAAATCTAAAAACATATCTGGCATTCAAGCTACACTGTTTCAACCAGAACAAAAGAACCGTGTAAGATGATCAATGACATCTTTCAGGTAACATGATGTTGAAAAGCATTTCATGTAATTGCAGAAGTACAAATCATATGACACAGTACATAATGCAATAACACACACATGTTACAACATTAAATGCCAAAATAAAATTACATCACTTTGGTGGGTGTTAAATATTAAATGTGGTGGAAATTGGAAAAGGTCCAGGATGCATTTTTAATCATTGTGTCAAATGGTAGAAAAAAAAAATTACAAACACATCAACCGAAAGAAAAGAAAATGTCAGGACATAAAAAATAACATACCCCAGCGTCTATATGCTTGGAGTCCAATAAATTCCTCATGACATGGTCAATAAAAGCTGTAGCAGCAACATCTTTCGAAGTGGACTCGGCGAGTTCACCAATGTCTTTCCACATTAGTCTTTCATGATCGGATAGGACCAAGCATCCATTTGGAGACGGGCTTCCGCCCTTTGCAACCTTTTGAATCCGTAATACCTTGCCCACCTGCTCCACAGAAACACCCATTTCCAAAATATAACAAGCCATATACATAATTCCAAGAAATGGTAATAATAACTCGAATGATGCGCTTAAACAGTACCAAAAAGAGGGAAGAGCCACAGTAGCCCAGGACAATATTAGCAGCTCCTTCTCCTTTGTAAAACCAATCCTTTGCATCGTCTGCTCTTACCAACATCTTTTGTTCCTATGTGGAAATACGATGTATCCAGACTTAGGACTGCCTCGATATGAGTACTACAACATCCAGTTCTAAAAGGGAAAACTACAAATATAAGGCGCGGCTGCGATTTGCCTGGTGATTCAACAATTGGACCCAGAAAAGAAGATAAATCGAACATTTCTAGAGCCATGAAAGTGAAATTTATACTTTTACCTGCTGAAGATGGCTCATGGTGGGCGAGATCGCAGAGAGAAAGCGGGGTCGCGAGACTCCACAACGGAATAGCAGGTGTTGGGGACCCCGCGGGATGTCCGGCGTGGTGAAGCAGCTACTTCATTCCGGCAAATTCAGCAACGGGAAAACACACACAGACGAGCGAGAGAGAAAGGAGAGCCGGAGGCTCCACCGCCGGGCCGAGGCGCAGAGGAGGAGGGGGGTGGGGGGACACGGGTCCCTCGTTTCGGTTCTCTGAACTGGCTTATTATTATTATTATTATTATTATTGTTGTTGTTGTTGTTATTATTATTATTGTTATTATTACTACTACAGTTTCTACTTGACAAATTGAGCACGTGCTGAGAGATGATGGAAGCGTGCTTGGAAAGTTGAAACGACATTTGACACGGGGCACTTCGCTTTTGCCGGTTTCATTCGGGAACGACGTGGGCCCCAGCAACCTCATCATCGACCAGGAATCCCATTCGCGTCTTTTTTTGGTCCGGACCAACCCAACCCAACCCATCCCATCTAATTCCCAATACGGTGTTGTAGTAATAGAGCATGCACAACCTGTATCCGGCAAGGCTTGATTTCTATCAGATTAAGTCAAAATCTCACCATCACATGCATTCCGATTCAATGCCCACCGAATGCTTGATTTCTTTGAAACCAAAATTCCCTCATGCAAACATGTATTCAAAACGATCTCCCACGCTGTTTATTATTTATAACGCGAGTTCAGCCGCACAGTAGACAACACTTGCATTTCAGAACTCAGCAAGAACTGCAATGGAAATTGCCCACTCAAACCAACCATACAGGGCAAACATATTAAACAAATAATTCAAAACTGCAGGCCGACGTCGGACAAAACTCAGGATCTGGTAAAATTTTGTTAGAAGAAATATAACTCTGGGTAAAACAAACAAGCTGATTATTGCCATCTGTTTTTCCTTCATTGTTCATGACTGCTTGTGGTATCAACTTCGGAGGGAGTTGGTTTCGATATTGATACTGGAAGATAAGACCACGCAATGGCAGCGCCACCGAGTGTAATGGCAACACCAATTGAGCCCCAAAACCATCTTTGCCTCCTCTTACGCCAGTTGCGTTGTCGTCGTGCCATTTCTGCAACCAATTTGTTGGGAATTGATTCAATAGGAGTCACTTAGTTAACATCAGCAACTCATTAAACCAGTACATCAACAAATATCATGCTGAACCAAACAGCAAAACATGCATTAGAGCAACTAGGTATCCAGGGAAAGGACTGTATCGGATTGTCATTTAGATGTAAAGTGTTTCCTAAAGATAATTTTAGTGGATCCCAGAAAGTCAATTTAATTGGAAGACATTTCTCATATGGTCTAAAATTATTTGTTGTTACCATCCAATTCCAAATGATATCAATCTCAACATCAACACATATCCACTCTAACCCTCACCCCTGTATTAGGCCTCTTGCGTAACCATGCTATACATTAGTATAAAGCCTTAGCTTAGTTAACAAAGACCTAGTAACTAAGTGCAGATAGGATAGGATGAATGATTAAGATCAAATAAACAATTTCATACTTCTTCTTCCTGTAAAACATGAGCAAGAGAGAAGAAACAAAATAGGAGACAAAGTAAACAACTCTCACCAATGGCCTCTTGATTTCTTTGAGACATTTCTTTATTTGCAGCTTCGTAATACTGGAGCCGATCCGATAACCTAGCGATCTCAAAGTTCTTTGATGCAATTTGGGTTTCCATCTCTAGCTGAACCTTGGCACGGGCACAACCCCTCCCTACAGCGTCGGCTACAAAGCGTGCAACAACAACCTGTTGGTACAATTCCTCTGCAGGATGCAAGTTTGCAGGCACATCCACAGCCTCAGGAACGGTTGGAGGAGTTGGAAGCTTCAAGCCAACAAGCGACAGTCGATGACTCAGTCGCTGCCATTGGTTTTGCAGGTTCGCTAGTGCTTCTTCGGCTTGTGTCCGCTTCTCTATCTCCATCAACACATTTAGCCTCATTTCACGCAGTTCATCTTCAACATTTGGATAGGAAGATCGTGCAGAACCATCACTAAGAATATCTACACCATGAAAAGGAAATCATATAAGCCTAGAGTCCTAATCTTTCGGTGGAAATGTACTGCATAGACTTGTCCTGAGATGCTAAATGTACAAAACCAAAACTGTCATTGAGTACGATTATATGAACAGCACTCATAGCATGCTGTACAGCAAAGATATGAAAAACTTTAGTCCAAGTTGAATGAAATTGACATGACATGATGTTTTCAACAGGTCCTAGATCCTGAATCCTATGAAAAGAATTCAAAATGAATTTTTAGAGGGGGCTTTGATGACCATATTGGGAAGGAGATAGATCAATTGATATCATTTAGTGCCATGAGTTCTACTTAATGGCTTTTTAGTTACTGGAATTAGTGGAGCAATCTTCTGCACCTATCGGTGTGGCATAAACCGGTATCTGTTGATCACAATTGTGCCCCTTTCAACAAAAAGGAAAAACCAAAAGGCAACTAGTGTTTCTACATGCTTTTGCGAACAATTTCCAATAGATTTTCCATTTTTATCTCACCTAAAGAGGAAGGCCAGTAGCAGTCAATAGGTGTGTTCTTACTCTGATGTAGCCGAAACAAAAATAAGCATAATCTATCAAATAACCTTAGAAGCAAAAGCAAGAAGAGGCATTTCACTTGAGATATCATCAAAATATTGCGATCCACTAAGGTGCTTCAAGAATATATTCCTGTCTAATCATGTTAGTGTGACAGAGCATTCTTTCTTCTAGAATTAGGTTCTCGTGAAAAACTTCTTTTTTATGGTTGTCAAAGTAAGAGAATTTTCTTTTCAATGTTTTCATCAAAAAGCCTAATCTAACAAAAGATTTCCCCTCCCAAACTATACTCAATTTTCCATCTAGGATGAAGCTAGACACAGGTGGAAAGATTCAAATTTTTTTAATACTGCCTCAGGTGAAGTATTCAATAATAAATTTGGTGGAAAGAATAAAAGAGGAGAAAGATCATAGAAAGAAGGAAAGCAGAAGAGAAGTACTATACATTCAAATACAATTAAACTCTCAAATAATCTATTAGAGATTTTTTGTTTTAAAAAAATCACCATAATGATAATAAATTAATTACAACAATAAGCTTGAACGAAATAAGTATTATGCTCAGAAAAACATGAAAGCCTAAGAATAAACGAAAATATGAGAATACTCTTAAGCCATTAAAGAAAACTAACATCTGCATAAGAAATATACCGTCAAAGGCATCATAATACTCTCCCAATGGGGTAATTGGTTTCCACCGACCACAGGTATCATCGGCCTCGGAGTTACTGGCAGTGCTCAGCGAGTCCTGCAGATCAAAGAAGTTCTCTGTGTCGTCATCTCTTTCGGGGTCTTCAGACAGAGGCTTTGCCATTTCCTCGGTTGCGATCACCCCTTTACCCAAATGTTCATCTTGCAGCTCGCCTCCACCAGATTCATCCACAACAGAACCACCCCGGCTACCCTGTCCATGACCAGCTTTCTGCACCTCCTCGTCATGCCCATTTCCATTCATCACTTCAATCTTCTGCTCCTCATCGGGTGGCTTTGGTCCTGTGGAACAAGCTTGGCCCTGCAAGACGCTCTTGACGAGGCGACGCCCACGTCTCTTATGGTTAATGAGGTATGGCGAGTGTGGAGGAAACCACCAAGGGGCGTCAGGGATCGGGGTGGTCTCCGGGGTGGCATAAAGAGCAGGGCGGATGTTGGGTCGAGGATTGCTCCTGCGGGTCGTTGCTTCTTGTGCCCCCTTCACCATCTTGATCGGCACCGGAGGTGGCTTTGGTGACATAGGCATTCCAGACCCAGGCTCCAAAAGTCTATCCAAGGCGATCGCAGTGAATGTCGGCATGGCTGCGATGAGATACCAACGCACAAATAAGCCTCTCAGCTCATCAAAGGTCACGTCTTTCAGATCATTGGACGTCTACGACACCAAAATTCCATCGTCAAGCAAATTAAAGCTCACCTGCGGACCCTTCGACGCCTCGAACGAAATCAGAGGAGCCCCGCGACGCCCATACTCCCCTGCCTTCCAAGAGTCCCGACACTACGACGCCGATTCAGAATCCCCAAATCGAACCGGAATAAAAAAAAAAAGGAGGGCTCCAAGTGCTCGGATTGCAAAAACCTAACTTGGGGTGATTTCAAAATAGGCCATCGGATTTGCACCTAGGAAAGCAGGCAGAGACCAGGTTGGAACCGGGGAGATGTTCGATCGGGAGGCGACGCAGGAAGGAGACCAAGCTGGTCTTCCACCCTAAAAATGGAAGGCGATGATGATGATGATGAACCGATACAATGGCAAGGCGGGAGGAATTCCCGGAGATTTTTTCTCCTCCCCACGAGATCTCGCTCGCTTCCGGTGAGGACATGGATACAGGAAAGAGAGGAGACACGAAAGATTCACGACGGCGATTGAGGAACATAGCTGGTGGGTCACCACCCCCTCGGTGAGACACAGAGTCGTACAAAGGAGCGGGTAAGAATGCGGGTGGAGTTTTCTGACGTGACGTCCCTTTTTCTCGCTACCATTCCCCAATAACGCAAGTCATCCGAAATGGTTACTCGTCTCGGTTCCCTCACCTGCACGTGAAGCGGTCAGAGCGTTTGATGTGTTTTTTGTTTGCGTGCTCTACGAACGGCGTCACATCATATAGCGAACAGTCTATGCGACTCATGCAAAGAGTCACAAAGGGCAAACGGTTGGTTGGACCCGAACCACGTAGGCAACTTACGATCGCTGCTAAATTATATGGGCTCAAAATCCAACGCTTTACGACATCTGATGGACGTGATGTGGGAAGCCCAAATCATCAAGTCCCCTGGAGGCCGTCGTCACATCATCCAGGACGAAGAGAAGAACCTTCGTATTGCGATTATAGATGAAGATGATAACGGGTTTGACGAGCACAGCAATTCTCTAGAGTGGATAGATCAGAGTTCTTCCTGCCGTGCTTCGTTAGAAGTCTTCCATGAAGCTATTAAGGTAACGCGGCCACTGGATTGATGGGCGATGGCTCCGGCATCCATCCATCCATCCCTTCCTGCTGTGCTTCGTTAGAAGTCTTCCATGAAGCTATTAAGGTAACGCGGCCACTGGATTGATGGGCGATGGCTCCGGCATCCATCCATCCATCCCTTCCTGCTGTGCTTCGTTAGAAGTCTTCCATGAAGCTATTAAGGTAACGCGGCCACTGGATTGATGGGCGATGGCTCCGGCATCCATCCATCCATCCATTCCTGCCGTGCTTCGTTAGAAGTCTTCCATGAAGCCATTAAGGTAACGCGGCCACTGGATTGATGGGCGATGGCTCCGGCATCCATCCATCCATCTTCATATTGAATGGCAAAAACGAGATGCTGCAGCCCCAAGTCGACGTCGGAGATGACGGCTGCTTGTAGACGACAGCTATTGGTTTTAGTCTGCGTTCTCATACTCTCATTCTTGGTTTGCCAACCACTCACTGTTGACCAGCGTTTGGAGGAATCACTCTCTCTTCGCAGGGTAGGTTGCGGTAGGTCAGATATGTTGACCGATCAGGAAGCACGTCTCCACGCGTGGCATGTTTGGATGTGGATACTACCAATTCTCACCATCTCTGAGCTTCGGCTGATTTTTATGATGGTATAATAACTATACAAGTAAATCTTTTGGAGAATTTGCATCGTTTCTTTCCTTTTTCTTCATCTTACAAAAAGAATAGACAAGTTGCATATGCCTTGCAGAACCAACAGCATGGAGATCAAAGAAGAACATCACACACGACTGCGTAATATTTGTGCGCGGTATTATCGCTGATAAAAAGTAGCTTAATTAGAGTGGTACGCTGCGGAGCACGACAGTCTCGATGCTGAGCCCCGGTCCAAACCCAAAGAGCACCCCCCACTGCAGTCCATCCCCGGTGGTCGCCCGCCCCTCCACCACCGACCGCTTCCTCACCTCATCCATCACGAAATACACGGTGGCGCTCTGCATGTTGCCGTACTCGGTGAATACATGACGTGCTGTGCTGAGCTTCTCCGGCAGGAGCCCCAGCTTGGACTCGATGGCGTCCATGATGGCCCAATTTCCCGGGTGCGCCACCCAGAACACCTCGTTCCAGTCGGTGATGCCCAAGGGCTTGAATGCGTCCGCGAGGCTGTTCCCGATGTTGTCGGCGATGATCAGGGGCAGCTGGTTGAAGAAGTGGAAGGTCAGGCCGACCTCCCGGAGGTGGCCTCCCACGGCCTTCTCGCTCTCTGGCACCGTTACTTGCGTGGCCGACATTATCTCGTAGATCGGCTTCTCCAGGCCTTGGATCGGATCGGCACCCACGATGACCGCAGCTGCTCCGTCACCGAACCCCGCTTGGCCAGCGAGGGCCTCGAAGTCGTGCTCGTCCGGGCCTCGGAAGCTGAGGACGGTGATCTCGCAGGACACCACGAGCACACGAGCCCCCTTGTTGTTCTCGGCGAGGTCCTTGGCGATGCGGAGCATGGCGGCGCCCATATGGCAGGCCTGGCTGTAGAGCATGATGCGGTTGACGGACAACGGGAGGCCGAGGAGTTTGGCAAGGCGGTAGTCGGCGCCGGGCATGTCGATTCCGCTGATGGAGCAGAAGACCAAGTGGGTGATGTCGGACTTGGAGCGGCCCCACTCCTTGATGGCCTTGGTGGCGGCTTCCTTGGCCAGCTTGGGCACCTCCTCCACCACGATGTCCTGCCGGTCGTCGAAGGATGGCTCCATGTAGGAGCACAGTTTTGGTCTCTCCTTGAGGATCTCCTCGGTGAGATGCAGGTAGCGCCGTTTGACCATCGTCTTCTCGCCTACATGCACCGAAAAAAGGGCAGATCAGAAAGGCGAGTTGGTTTTCGTTTCTGTTCTTCTTCCTCTTAACAGCTTGTCTTAGTGAAGCTCGCTCGCTCGTACATGTATGCCATTTTCTTTGTCGGAAGATCGATATGCTTGACGAAAGGAAAAGCTATAACAAGGTCTTACACATGCGCCGAAACTTGTGCTTGAGATCCGGCTTGTGCTCAGAGTTGGTGACGCGGAAGTAGTAGTCGGGATAGGTGCTCTGTTCGTAGAGGTTGGGAGGGTTGGCGGTGCCGATGGCCATGATGGTGGCCGGACCCTGAGCCCTCTGTGTCTTGCGCAGAGCGTGGAGGCTGGCCATTAGTGTGGCAAAAAGCAAGCAAGGAAGCAGCGGCAGGTATACGATCACTGGGAATTGGATGAGGAGTGGATCTCATTCAAACTTCGGCCACATATTTATAAACACAGAGCTCCGCCTCTTACCACCCACCCCTCACCTCCTCCACCCTCTCATTTTTCAGGTGCTCAAAATAGTAATCAGTTGATTTAATGTGGTTGCTCGAAGTCTTGCATCAGGAGAATCCAATAATAATAATAATAATAATAGTGTCTTCAGAGTCAGCATAGTTGTTTCCCATTCAGTGTTGAACCAAACTTGCTTCTCTCGGTCTCTGTTTCCTTCTTCACTCCGTCGATTGCTAATATTTTAAATCAGACTTCGTCTGAAGAAGCAAGGATTTTTCTCCACCCACCACCGACGGTGACCCAATGCCGAATAAGTCCGAATCCATTAATTAAGCTTGCATGATTTTGCCACCGGTGAAGTCAATCTCATTTATTAACGGATGAGACGGACGTATGACACCCTCCCTAAGTTGATTCATGCGTTGGAGGAGCAAGTGATGTGCAAACCACATGAGCACGAGAAGGAGAACCATGCAGGAAGGGAAACCGGCAGAGATCGCTAGCATTTCCGAGTAGAACTCTGCCGTTTGTTTCCCCTTCACTTGCCTTGTCCATCAAATCTTGGTTCATCCGCATAAGCAATCCATTTCTGATAAGATAAGAGAGCGGAAATGCATTTATACATAAACATATTTTTCCCCCTTCTTTGAGGATGAGTTCCTCAGACAATGGTCGCAAAGTCCTCACCAACCACTCCTACTTCCTGTGCATTCCCACGCAGCGCAGTACATGTTTGACCCTATCATGACGCAGACGGCAGAACAACGCACGAATAAAAGCCAGTTGAATCCTCCAAAGAAAAGGAAATAGAAACCAACACGATCCACTTGAAGCTGATGATTTGTCTTACGGATGATGTCACAGATGACGTCCCGCAGCACCTCCTTCCAGCACAGCACAAAAATGACTGCCGTGCCGTCGAGTGACCGTGACATGAAGTCTCTCTCGTCGTTCACGCCAGAGAAAAACCAGCGGTGTACGCAGAGTCGGAGATAGTGTGAGAGCCGCAGCGGACACGCGTCGAGTAGACAGACTGGTAAAGGCATGCGGAGAGACTGGATAATTATCGTCGCACATGAAATAAAGAAAACGAAAATGCAGTGGGGGTTAAGGACGTGAACGTGATCCGATGCCGTCGTAAGGTGTGGGCTATTATTTTATGGTGTCTCCATCGACGACTCATCCATCAAAAGGTTGGTTTCTGGCTATTCCGATGGCCAATACGAACCATTCATCATATCCAACCCCACCAACTTTTGCTTCGGGCAAGATTCACCGAACCCCATCGAAAACCCTCCAACCATAAAACTACGAATGGCTTGGTTACAACGAATCACGTAACGATGCCGTAACGATGACGTACCCAAGTTGGTGCATCAATAAAAAAAAAACAATTTTGAGTGACCGATCACAGTTTTCCTCATCAAACCCATAGTTGAAGAAGAAGAACAAAATTGGTATCGTTTCTTTAATGGGATCGTCACATATCTCGTTACCTCTGTTTGGATGATTGTCAACTACAACACTATATAGTTTAAGAGAGCTCCAATGGATGATATGTAGAAATTAACTCTTCTTCCGAGAAGAGGTAGAAATAATTAATAATTGGAACCGCGAGCTGATTCATCGTTGTCTCCTAACACCTTTGCAGCGAAAGGCTCCAAGCGTCCAAGCCAATAATATATGTATACATTGTAATACTTATTAACGAAGCAAAAATTGATGGACTCCCAAGGTTCTCGGTCGTTGGGAGGAGGAAGAAGCAGGGAACGAATGGGTCTGCGTTCGCTTGCAACAGTCTTCCAGACGAAGACCCTTCGCCAGCCCATACAAGAATGAATCCCCTGGCAAACAGATCCCCCGGCTCCCGTGGCATTCACCGCATGCGTCTCTCCTCTGGCTGCCACCCTCACCACCTACGACGACAACGACAACCAGCGACACCGTTCATCCGCGCAAACCATTCCGACCTGAATAGGATATGATGCTCCATGACATCGACGGAGTTGGCAAACGATACCAACCTCGTTCCCGTGTTTTGCCATGCATCCTCTGGAACCAAGTGTTTACAGTGTTTGGCCAAGAAACATAGCGCAGCCTCCGGATGATCCACTTCGGCGTCTCTGTCGGACAAAAAAATTGATGAATTCGTATGAACTCAACGGTCTGTTCATTTTTAAGCATATGCTTTTAGCTATTCAACTATCATCGTTGAGCTCGCAAGTAGCATTCACTTTGTAAGCTCTTTAGCTTCATCTCAATTGGCAAAACAGAGATTATGTTCGGAAAAATTATTATAGCTAAACAATTGTTTTTCCTCTTTATATATCAAAATAAGTTTT